TTATTCGAATACTGATTTTTTTTTAATAAAATATCCGAATATTTTCAACCATATTATCATACCAATATGCTTTCGTTCTTAAATAAATTTGGAAATAATGAAGTGGTATGAGATTGAGGAATAGTTTTTGAATGTTGACATGTAAATTACAATTGTGTTAAGGTGAATGTATCTCAAACTCTCTCTCTTTACATTATACAAATACATTTTTATTCCAAAAAATAATAAATTAGACTAATTATAATATTAAATTTAATAAATTTAACTTAAACTTTAAACCTGAAACTTTAATCGATATTTGGCTTCTTGTTCCAAGAAATCAAAAAACTTTAGATAATTTTTAAACTAATAATGACATGCTATGCATGTCATTAAACAGAATTAATACTATATAAATTGAATGAAAACGTTGTAAATGTAAAATAATATGTATATGAAAACATAAGAAATGTTCGATAAATGGAAATGAAATAATATTGAACTCATACCATGATTTCAATTTTAATGTAAAATAAACAAGCCCATAAAAACCCCATACCTTTCCACCCAACATACAAATTATATTCATCTACTAGCTATTTTCAGTTACTAAAAATTATTCAATATTATTATTTATACATATGTGCGTGTTATAATGGCCGATTTGTGGAAGCAGTTTTAATCCTCTCTAAGCATTTTCAGTGAAATTCTATTTTCAAATGATGGATTTAAGCCGATTATTTGCCCAAAATATTCGCTCTTGTTTTGCCAATGGTACTGACAAATTTCACGGCCATAATCAAATAGGCAACTTAATTACTGGCCTGGCACTTTCAAGGCTCTTCCTGACACTGGCTATTTCAATTGTAGGACATCCTTTCGCAGCAGTTTCATTTGAACAATGCTATTGTCCAATCAAATATCGGTAGGATTAAAATTTCAAATTTTGAAATGTTAGTACCATTGTGCACATCACAAATTTAAATGACTGAAGAGAAGACTTGGACAGATTGCTGCCTACGCTTCTTCTCAAGTAAAAACAATTCACCACCACCACCACAGCTTTCTCAATGGTTTTTGGGCTTTGATTTAATTACTTTCTAGCCACTGCCTCGAAGTTTCCAATAACAAAATTAATTCAATTTATAAAGGATTTTGCAGATTTTAACAATAATAACATAGGAAAATTTTATTGAAATAAAATTTGCAAATATTTATAACTTAATAAATTAGTTATATACATAGATATTCGTCTGTATGTCATTGTCTTGTTAACAGGAATTGAAAATAAATATAATAAAGAATTCCTAAAATTTGATTTCTCTGAATTCATTTCCTTTTATCTGAATGTGAATGTGAAGCCTCTAGTATTTAAAGCTTTTAGATTAATTAAAAATTTCTTGCAAAAATATCTTTTTGATTCCTCAATTTTTAATTGTAAACTATTCATTTGAATATTACCTATGGTATATTACCATATCCAGTGAATATGGCTTCTTGCATTGAACCTTGAACTCTTTCTGAGACTTTGACCTTAAATTTCTGTTCATACATACATACTTTTTCAGTGAAAAGTCAAACGCAACCTCACACAAAGTACGCCGAAAAAACATTACCGGTTGCTCGCGGCGTATAAGCGACGTCAGTAGTTAGCCTCTTTGACTAAAACTGGTGGCTAAAAGCTTACAACTGCAATAAAAAAGTCTATAGTTTATAGAACTTGTTTAGTTTTAACTGCGAGAATAATTAATTAAGTATTTAATGTTTATAAAATTTATTAGTTCAATTTTAATACATTCACTTTGCAACTTGTAATTAAACTGACGTTTCTAAGGCATTCGTAATTAAAATGAATTGTAATCAACTTATGATAATTAAGCTAATTAAAATTCAGAAGCACTTATAATCATATTACAGATTTCCTATTATATTTGTTAACTATATACGCTAACGTGTTCACTTAGACTTAATCACTTGTTTTTATTCATTTTTTTTTTTAATTTATTTATATTTTATTAGTGAATTACTGTTGCTACGACTTAGCTAAGGTCATTTCATGACTACTGAATATGATTTGATAAACTTCAAATCACAAACTTTAGTCTAAAAACAAATCCGTGAACTTTCTGGAGAAAAATATAATATAACCTTATATTTTTTTTGTTTTTGTTTTTTAAAAATTACAACCACAAAATTCTTATTTTTAAATAATTGCATTTTTGACTGACTACCCGTTTCGAGTAAAACCAAATATTCACCACCAATGATATTTTTGGAAATATTTCTTATTAATTTTTATACAAATAAATATTATATACTTATTAAATTTATAACTTTATAGCATATTAAATATATTTATTATATAATATGTAAATATATATTTCTATTATATTCTTTATTTATGGTAGACCAATAATTTATATTTACTTATACTTATAGTTGTACCCTGTCAAATTCAGAGCTCAGAGTCAGTGTTCTCTAGCCAACTGACCCAATGCCGTAGTCAACTTGTTTGTTCTAACTTGTAATTTAGAGAATTATTTATAATATTTTATTAATATTATTTTTTATTAGATAATATATAAATATATATTTGTATTATATTCTTTATTTAGACCAATAATTTATATTTACTTATACTTATAGTTGTACCCTGTCAAATTCAGAGCTCAGAGTCAGTGTTCTATAGCCAACTGAGCCAAAGCCGTAGTCAACTTATTTGTTCTAACTTGTAGTTTTGTTAATTTGCTGTGAAAGTTCATTAACAAATTCACTTACTTTGTTCTATTAGAACAAAACCATAAACCAGCTTTAGAAAAATTGAATTAATTAATTACAGTTTTTTTTTCATTGTTAAATTTTCAATACTGTTCTTTTTATACAAACATTATTTATTGCATATTTTTATATTATTCTGATTTTATATAGATCCGTGTTTGTGATCTTATATCACAGTACTTATCAACAGTACTGCTATATATGTGCTAGTTTGAGGACTTATTGTCTGATATAAGACTTCAGGTTTAACTATATTAAAAATTGGGAGCAACAGAACTATATCCTTTTAAAGTTAATAAAAACGTCCACTAGGTCCACTAGAGAATATTTGGTTGTAAAAAAAAATGCATGTTCTTGTAAAATCTCTTTCAACTATAACTATATCTATATAACTATATAACTATAACTATATAACTATATCTTTCTACTATAACTAATCAGCCAATGTATGAACTATATCACTGTTTTAATAAAAACCTGCAAGATCCCCTTTTTGTGTTAATTACTATTTTTTCGGTTGTTAAAAATCGTTATCTATTAAAGAAATTTTGGAGATGGGAGTAGGTCTCCCTCTAAATTTCAGAGAGTGGTTAATGTGGGGGATAATCTTGTTATTGTAGCAATTTATACTTTACTCACAGCTGCATCATCTCTATGGAACAAAATTTTTTTTCAAAAATTTTTTTATAATGTTAACAAAATATTCTTCTGTATTTAAAAAAAAATGATTTCTCTTCTATAATTTTCTATATTAAATATATATCTCTATATTTATATAAGTACTGTTCACATTTACATTTTTTTTAAATTAAATATATTCTTCTATATTTAAATACGTACTATTCTCAGTTGAAATCTCTCTATGAAAAATAATTTTTTTTTCTATATTTAATTGGTCTAAAACTCACAATAATAATCTGAGTTTATTATTTTACCTATTTGTTGGATATAGTTTTTCAACGAATATCAATTCGGAGCTGAAAAGGCACTTTTTTTTGAATGGCATACAATGGCATACAAATGTTTCCGACAAAGACACATTCTAATGTGTTTTGATCCATTGAAAATGGATGAAACATCAATTGTACATAAAACGTTTTGAAAACCATTGATTTCATAGTCTTCCTTTGCTTAAAAGCAATTTTGTCTTGATTTAACTGCCCATTTTATAGTGATGTCATCCATAATAACGAATACTCTATGTTTTGATGAAATCAAACTCACTCAGGTAATATGTTTAATAGAAATCTGTACCTTTCTTACCAATACTTGCAGTTTACTAAATTATGAAGAAGGCTTTCAGCTTCTACCGAATTAATTAAGTTAGATTTTAAAAATATTCTACTTATAGAATAAACTTACCTACTAAACTACGCTGACACTCTACTTGAAACCCCATAAATGCTAAAAATGAAAGAAAAGTTTACAAAAAAATCTGTAGGGTATATCTGTACAAAGTTTATGTTAAAAAGTGCTACCTAACTGTACTAAAAAATTACAATAATAGAAATATGTATTTTTAGTTAGTAATCTGAAAATGTTAATTTAACTAATGTTAATTAGCTAAATTTGAAAAAATAAGACATAAATAAATAAGGTAATAAAAAGAGAACAGTGCTACCAATTAACTAAACTTCACAGTGTATAGAAAAGAGTGGCTCCGAAGTGGTACTAAAAAATTAGTTCCGCAATTAATTTTGTTAGTTTTATTAACAAAATTTTAAATATATTCTCCTATTTATTAAATCCTTAGCCAATTACTATGTATTTGTGAATTATTTCACTTAAAATTTCGATACTTCGGTTGCTTCTAAGTGACCTACTTTCCGAGATTTATTTCATGTAAATAAAATATAATCTCTTTATAAACTAAAGCATGCATAAATCGTCGAAGTCGTCGTTGGTTGTTGGTCTTTGGTTCAATAACCTATTCAGGCGGTAAATAAAGCAGCGCTGCTCTCAGTCCAACCAAAATATTTCTATGGAGGTTATCAAGCATTTTCCAAGGCAATGTGCAAATTTCGTACCATTTGACATTTTGCAATTTTCAATCTTTTGTTTAGGTTTTTTGTTTATTAGCTCAAGAATAAAAAACGAAAAAAAAACTAATCCAAGCAATTTTCTTGCTTTACATGACGTATTGCTTATTAAATATCTTCTGATAGTTTTTGTTTTGCTTTATTTCAAAGTATCTTAATCTAGTAACTTAATTTTTTTTTTTTTCTTCTGTTTTAGGTTGTGCATGGAGTGCAGATTGAAATGGAGGAATCGCTACCGCCAAGCTACAACAGCAGCGCAGACAAAGAAGGAGCGGCTCATAGACTACACAAGCGCAGCGTCGGGGAACAGCCACTGCGAATTTTGTTATTCTACGATGATTCTGTTTACAAGTGAGTTTACCTTAAGCTCGAATTGAAGCACGTAGTTGATATACGTAATTTGTATCTCTTAGATACAAATAAATAATTCATAGCGAAAAGTATCTGTATTAAAACAAACTATGAAGTAAAAACAACTTAAAATTTCAAAATGTGGAGGAAACACCAGCACTCAACACACATTTTAAATTAAATAAATTTTATAATTAGTATTTGTTTTATTTTTTTTTTTTTGTTTATTTGTTGGTTTTTAGTTGACAAATTTTTTTGATGACATTTTAACGAGTTTTTTGCACTTTGAGTGTTTAAAGGTGATTTCGAAAGAAAAAAATATTTAAACTTGAATTTTTTTTATGACTTTCCAACACATTAATCCCTCTTTTTACTTTAATTAAATATTATTTAACGTACGATCTATTAAATTTTATTGCATTAATTATTAAATAAAATTTTAAATTTAAAATCTATTAAATACATTTCTATGCTTCAATTCAGTTTGGCTGAAGCAGACAGTATAATTATGAAAAATAATTGTAATTAAATTTAATTACGTTTTTTAACTTGTTAATTAGCGCTAAATGCAAAATATTTAACGTTGAAAGCCATAAAATGTCAACTGATTCACACAAAAGTTACTGCCCAGACCGCCTCGATTAAACGGCATTGCGTCAAAATTTATATTGGAACAGGGTCGATGCTTGGTGAACATTTGCTTCCTTGAGTACGAATTCAATTGCAAGGAAATTTTAGATATAATGCAAGTACCTATATTTAATTTGGTTTCCCCCTATTTCATTATTGACTGATTTTATTATTTATTCGATTATTCGTTTCGATTCAAACTCACAAATGTTCAAGTTTTGTAAAGTAAATAGTGGCCTCGATAAATAGAGTTAGCAGATCACAAAGAAATGTCATTCGCTGCATCCTTGAACTTTGCTAAACATTTATCCAATAAATCTCGGTACTCGAAAATGCATTTAGTAACTCAGAAAGTTTTGAGGTCGTAACATAGTGGTTTGCAAAACTTTCACCACTCAAACGTATCAAATTATTTTCTGTTTACTCATCTCAACCCTTGATGAGAATAGTTAACGTTTCAGTAGATTTGAATCGAATATTTCTATGAAAGCTAAACTTACATTTACTTTAACGTAGACCAAAACCAAAAGAATACTAGAATTTGTTAACTATCTCTATATTAATATCATAAGCATTGTAGAGACATGGGTGTCTACAATACATCGTTAACAATAATAAACTATTGGAAAGCTGAATATAAATGTGGTCGTACGAGTAATTTTGATGCAGAGTGTCTGGGTCGTCTAAAACGAGGTCACAACTTAAAAAAAAATTGAAACAATTCGCGATATTGTGTTGGATGATCCAAAAACTAAATTGCGTCAGATAGCATAGATGACAAACATATCATATGAACTTGTAACGAATATTTTACATGAATATTGGGGTTTGAAAAAGCTTCTGGGTGCCGCATTTTCTCACAATTGACCAAAAACGACAAGAACTTCATTCAAATCATTAAAATCATTGGAAATGTTTAAGTACAATCTAGCTGACTGTGAGCATCGAATAGTGACAATTGATGAAACATGGATCCTTTACTTCATATCTGAGAGACAACAACAAACCATAGAATGGGGAAAGCACGGAGATAGTGCTCCAAAGCGACCAGGAACTCAACAATCGACTGGAAAAGTTTTGGCTTCCGTATTTTGGGATTCAAGTGGAATAATTTTCATAAACTATTTGGAAAAACTATTCAAAGAAAAACAATAACATCAGACTACTATAGCATATTATTGGATCGATTGAATGAGATAATCAATAAAAAACGACCACATTTGTCCAAGAAAAACATATTGTTTTTGCAGGATAACGCACCCACTCACACATTAATGAAAACCGCGGCAAAATGAAATGAATTGCGGCACGAATTGCTTCCTCGCCCAACATATTCTCCAGATTTGGCTCCCAGTGTCCCATTATTCCCATTATTGGGATATTAATAATATATATAGTAATGGTGTATGAATTCCTTTAACCCATTTGTCAAAGACTCTATTCAAGATATCAAGTGGATATCTATTAAATCTATTAATATCTGTTTATTATAAACAATTAAATATAATTTTTTAACACTAACACATTATGATAGAAATATAATCCTTTGGACATAACAATAAAAATAAATTTGACAAAATATGCATTTTGAGACTCATTGCTTTTTAACCCTTTATCTCTTTCAGACTAGACGTTGACAAATTCAATCTCATCAACGTAAGTACATACTTTATATAACTAGGCATTATCAAGAATTTCAATTATGTTGAAGTGAAATTTGATACTTTTAATTACAGAACACCGTCCTACCTGAAGCTGTGCACTTTTGGGAGCAGGCATTAATGGTGCGGCAAACAAAGGGTGTCATAAAACTGAATAGGTGAGTTGATGGAATAAATTTGATATATTCATACATATAATAAGTAGCCGACCACAATTATTTATTTTTTCGATTTTAATTTTATTAAAGAAAATGTAACAGCACACAAGTGTTTGTGAAGGACGGAGAGACGCACTGCATCGACAAGTGCAAAGATGTTACGATGTGTGGGGAAGTTGTGGTGCCTGAGCAGCATTTAAATGTAAGTCAATGCTGTCTTGGAATTTCAAATAGAATTAATTAAGCATATTCTCATTCATTTGAATTAATAATTCATCAGGTGTGCCGTGTCTGCAATTCAACTGGCCAAAATTGTCGCATTGACGAGACCACTGACGCAGGTGAAGGCATTGAGAATGCTGACTTTGTGTTTTATGTTTCTGCACGACAAACGGAGCGTTGCCACAAAGGGCTGACAGTGGCGTATGCAGCGCATTGCCAACAAGAGGCTAAATTGGATCGACCCATAGCGGGACATGCAAATCTCTGTCCTGATAGCATCAGCACTAAACCGCAGGAATTGCAAACGCTTATATCGACTGTGAAACATGAAATCTTGCATGCCTTGGGCTTCTCAGTGAGTTTGTATGCATTTTTTCGCGATGATGAAGGAAAGCCACGAACACCGCGCAAACCAGACACGGGGAAACCTCACCTGAATGAAAAGTAATTTATAAAATTGTTTTTCTGCTTTATTAAAATTTAAACTCAAATTTCGTATTTTTTTTTTTTTTTGTATCAAGTTTACAAATTCACCAGTGGAGCAACGAGACGATACGTAAAGTAGTGCGCAAAAACTGGTCAGTGCGTGGCGGATTCATACGTAGAGAGTTCAATATGATGGTAACACCACGTGTGGTAGCAGAGGTACGTAAACATTTTGATTGCCTTAAATTGGAAGGAGCTGAATTGGAAGATCAAGGTGGCGATGGTAAGTAGCAAAGAATCATTTGCATTCATTGATAAGTGTGTTAACATTACACGTGTGTGACAACACTTGTAGGCACTGCATTAACGCACTGGGAGAAACGCATACTAGAAAATGAAGCAATGACTGGCACACATACCCAATCACCTGTTTTTTCACGTATCACTTTAGCACTTATGGAGGATTCTGGTTGGTATCGCGCTAATTACAGCATGGCCACGCCCATTACTTGGGGTAAGGGGTTAGGTTGTAATTTTGTTATGCGCAGTTGTAAAGATTGGATACAAACCAATAATGGCAGGTAAGTACTAGAGAACTGCGCTCATATGTCTCAGCTACAATTTACTAAAAAATCATATATATTTTTAACATATTTTACTAACAGCTTACCAAATGGCAACGAAAAATGGATGCGGTACGACTTTCTAACACATTTCTAAATACATGCAATTATTAACATTTTTTTTATATTTATATTTGAAAGAATTTGTGTTATAAATTAATGTTTATAAATTTCCTAGGGGACGTTCCATACATCCATTCTGTTCGAAAGTGAAACAAGATCCACTACAAACTGAGTGTACAGACGATCGCAACTCTGTGGCGCTATGTAATCTCATAAAGCATGACTATGAGCTACCAAAAGAATACCAGGTAAGCAAGACAATGTTGTCGAATGAAAATAGTGGAATAGATATGTTAAAGTGCTATGTTAGAGTAAGAAATTTAGATATCTAGTGACTTTAACTGATAATTCTTAATATTCTAAACATCTTACTGCACTCTGTATATAATATTTTTAATCTTAATTTTTAGAATTTTGATAGCCTCACCAATGTGAGAGATGGTGAAGAGGGTTATTATGGTGGTTCCGTCTCACTTGCGGATCATTGTCCTTACATACAAGAATTCACATGGAGGAATAAGAATATTATAGTACGCGGCTCACATTGTCGTTTTGTTGAAAATAATCCAAGTAAGTCGTATTTTCTACACCACTCGATAGTTTTTTTTTAACAATAGTTGTGAATAAAATAAATCCAAACAATATTTTGACAATTTAATTAAAATTTTTATTTTGTCTATAGAACCAGAAAAAAATTTTGCTTTGGAGAGTTATGGCAAAGGCTCAAAATGCTTTGATCACAGTGAATCCATGTGGGAGGAACGTTCATGCCATCAGACACGTGAATGGCAGCATTGGGGCTCTGGCTGCTACGAATACAGTTGCATCGACGGACGTTTAAATATAATTGTCGGTAACTACTCATATACCTGCTATTTTCCAGGGCAGCAATTGTCAATTCGCATATTAGCAAATGGATGGTTGCATAAGGTATAAAATGATTCATATATAAGCTTAACATAATCGGTATAATGTGCTTTAAATGTTTACTTTTTACATTAGGGTGCCATAATTTGTCCACCATGCCATGAGTTGTGCGGCAATTATTTTGCCGCACGAAAGCAGGAATGCCGTTTCCGTGAAGAGGCCCCACCATCGAACAAGTACCCACGTGATGTTATGGTGTGCAGTGCATGTGGTTTGGGTGCGCATAAACACCTACTCTTAAGTGGTGCCATAATTGCAGATTTGCTATTCAAGCGTGTGTTGGTGCATGTCAGTTAGATGCTTTAATTCTCGTAGATATTTTATTACTATAATTTTTAAACATTTTTGTTATATGTTTATGTTAAGTTTAAATGTAAGAATAGTTATAAGTGTAAGCAAGTAGTAAGCTAAGTGTAATGCATGAATATTTAAAATTTTACAAATTTTTATACCATTCCATTAACTTTATTAATGTATTTATAAAATAGTGTAGGAGACATTGAAATCCTACAATATATGTATGTTATTGATTAACTATATACATCAAAGTAATTAAGCTATGTTCATCTGTATGTGCTGTCTAGTTTCCCAATTTTGACAAATGTATTTTGAAACACTGTATATCACATGTCTTTATCACATGCCAATCTTAGCATTTTATGCCAATAGTTAATCAGTCTTGAACATTGACGAGTACAGCTTCTACCGTTTAGTCTTATTTAAATGTTTACAAGTCTCATGTCAAGTTACTAAAGATCTATTAAATAACAAGAAGTTTATAGTTAACTTTGATAATAAATTTCTAATTAAAATATTGTCATTTACAATGAATTCTATTGGTACAAAAGTATCAAAACAATTTATAAAAACTACTCTTAGTTACTGCTCAATAGTTGTAAGTAATACTCGTATGTTTCGTCTTCCATTGTTAACAATGTTCCATTTTTTTGTATAAGTAGGCTTTAGTGTGCAAAGTCGCCACTCTTACCTCAAATTACCTGTCCGAAAAAATGTTTGGTTCACTATATTCTGACCGATATAATATATTAAATATATAATATCAAAACTTTGTGACAAAAAAAGTTGGAAAACTAAGTATTTCAACCGGCTTTCAATGACTACTATCGCGGCATTGAGGAAGAAATGGAAGAGCAAAATTTCATTTGTTACTACTCAACACTCGTCGTAAGGTGCTTATTCACTTTGTAATTTCCCTTTCTGAAGGGAAATTTGTATTTGCGATATCACAAATATATGAAGTAAAGACATCATACGACTATTAAAATAATACAGTCCCGGTTCGAAATATGTATTTAATTACCATGTCACTTTTTGAGGAATGCGTGATCTTATCATATGGGCTCTCATTGATTCGTAATAGATACTTTTTGAACAGTTAAATCGTTCCAAAAAATGGGCCTACATAAAAAGTTTAAGTAAGATGGGCTATCACCAATCCAAAATAAGTCCCTTTTTAATAGTCAGCGTGTTTCATAAATTGTGATATCAAACACTTAACCGAGCTCTTGAGATGGGCTTCCACTGATCTGATATAAGTCTTTTTGTGAGCTAGGCTGACTTTAGTATCTACCGTCTACTTAAAAGTACTCAGCATACACGACTTTTTGATCAAATCTAACAAATTTTATGTTCTGGTCTGATACTCTGATTAATTAATCATAACATCATATTCAACTCTACTTTTCTTATAAATTCCATCAGACTTTTAGGATTAACTCTGAACTAAATACACAATCACTTCAAGAATAAATACAAATGTTTATATTTCAAATAATATATTCAGCTCAAAAGTGCTCAATATATCATGAGCGTATATAGTCATCCCTTTATCTTAATGTATTATTATATATATTTTTACTTTTGGGTGCGATCATGCAATACATATTTACCGATATAATATACTCATAATGTTTATAAAAGAAAATTATATTGAAATTCAAAACAAACAAACAATTTTATTGAAATTAAATATATATATATAAATATATAACTAGATTTAAATATAGTATAATTAGTAATACTGATAAAAAAAATTATTTCCAAATACTTTATAATTAATTCATTCATATAAGAATATTGTGATTTGTTTTATTATTAAAATTAGTTTATACACACATAACTTGAGATTTGTTTGTAATACAAAACGATAATTATTATAAATAATTTTAATTTTTTTTCTAAATATGAACCCAAATATTATTCTAATATTAAAAAAATAAAAAACTTTTAACAGGAAAGGCAATAACAATAAAAATTGTTAATGTTGTTATTATTATTCATAATTTTAAACATTCCAAAGCAATACTGTTTAGTGGTGAAATAAATAATAATTTTTTAATTTGTTTAATTAGTATTATTTATATAAAAGTTTTTATAAAAAATTGTACAATTATAATTATATATTAGCTAAATTTATAAATTAACTAATCTAAGTACTATCAACTGATTTGCGATACTGTAAAATAATATATAAACTAAGCTCAAAATTAACTAATATATATACATATAAATATATGTATATTCAAAGTTTCGATTTATATAATATATAAAATATTTTATCGTGTCGTATTTGTATTATAATTGTTAAAAATGAACTCTATTTCACTACTTGTGTATTTATATATGTAAATTGTATACAGTCTAAAATCTCTTAGTGCTTAAATGGTGTGATTTCTATATATTGTATTTTTATTACTTATTATACATATTATTTACAAAAAGTTTGTATATTAATGCTAATGTAAATGTATATTTTTTGATTCTGCCCATAAAGCATTTAATTTTTATTAAACATTTTGTAAAATATCATTTTGTAACTCTAGAAATTTTTTAAATTTACACTAAGCTAGGCAATATGATACTCGTATTAAGCAGATAAAGATTTTATTAGAACAATTAGGAAATTATCATTGCAACTACAACAAAATATTTAAAATTTGTAAATTAAAACTTCTGTAATGCATGTAAAATATCAAATAAATAGAAACAAATAAATGAATAAATAAATAATAAACAAATGAAAATTAAATAAAAACAAAAATCTTTCAATAAAAATTTTTTAATAATTTTTTAGCACTATGAATTTTTAGCAGTGTATGAGTACATCAGTAAGTTTGAATGTTACTGTAAATATTATGGTTCCATACTGAACTTAATATACACAGTTTGAGACTCTTTGTTTAAAAATATATATTATTGTGGATGCTGCGGAAAAATTAGAAACTTTATTATATTTTATATATTATATATGAGTAGTAGCCGATTTTTGTTTTTTTAACGGTTCTGTATACAAAAATTTAGTAAGTCTACATTAACAAGGAATTATTAATGTGACGAGCTTACAGCCATGATGATTTCAGCGTTAAATGGAAGTATTTTGTTTAATATTAATTAGTGTTACGGATCATCTTAAACATTGTTTTCAATAACATAAATTCATTTTATACGTGATTTAATTTATCAATTACTGATCAATTAAAGAGATCTACCAAGTTGAAGATACAGAAATATAATACTAAGATAGTAATACCAAAAACATAGAAATATAAAGACATGTAATTTGCCTCTGTTAAAAAAATCATGAATTCTGAAAAGGTACACGCAATGGGAAAAACATGTCTGTTCAAACGTATAAACAATCGAACTTATTATTTTATGTATGATCAATGCTATTTTGTTAGGGAAGTCAGCAATCAAACCAATAGCGAACATGTTGTATTTTGCTTGGACAAAATCATATAGAAAAAACTCTAATATCAGAGCAAATGCACACATAGCTTCTAGCTCATGCGTATGTAAGTTTCTTGGTAAATTTTTTCTACTCTTCTTTTTATTGCACACTTACTAAATATATATATGCATGGGTAGGTGAGACAATATTTTTGAATGTGATGCTTGGATTTTGTTTGTGTGCTTTTTTTTTTGTTAAAATATATGACTGGCTTCGTGTGCATGAAATGCAGAAGTCTTCCAAATTATTTAAAATTTGATTTTTGCTGAAATTTTATACTGGCTTCATACTAATATATGATGTTTGCCTATGACATGATGCGAAAACACCGGAGTAGCGCAACCACAGTTGTTATTAGTGTAAATGCTCTTAATATGTTTGGCTATCAAGACTCGGCTATGCCATACAGTAACAATAGTTTCATGAAGAATATTCATAAACACCATATTATACAATAATTGATTATGTCTTATATATTAAGTTTTTATTATTATATTCTTATATCAAATACAATAGAATTATTAAATAAATTTTATTACTTAAATCATAAAAAATAAAATTATAAACTTAATATGACTTAATTATTCAAAATAGATATATTAACTAAATTTAATTACATATTACTTATAACTGTTTATTTATAAGTTTATTTATATTAGCGTGAATATTTTTGTCTCATTGCTAATTTTTCTAAGCATTTATAAATAGTATATTTTTTATTAAAATTCAAATTTTTGCAATTGTTTTTAATATGCTGGTAAATTTTGCACTATATTAATAACTTTTTAGGTTTAAAAAACCCTCAGTACTGCCATTTAAATGGCATTGAAGATATCATAATAAAGTTATTATAAATTAAAATTACTTATTAATTTGATATAACTTATTGAAAGTATTAATTAATATAATTAAGTTAATGTTTTACACAGAAGTTCAAATATTTACAATTTCTTTAATTTATTGTTAATTTTACACTTTATTTTAAGTACCCTGTTTGATTTAGCACTTTTATTGAAAAGTTTTTTAACAAAATTTCATTGTGGCACCCGTAAATTGGATCCTTAAATCAATTTTTGTTATATACTTTTTTTATTTTTTTTTTGTTTTATAGTGTTTGCTACGATTTCTTTAATACTATTTAAATGGTATTCTTTTTTGAAAAAGAAAGTAATAAAATAAAAAATTTTTAAATGGATCCTGGAAATTTAGGTAGTATACAAAAGCATTATTGTTTATTTATAAATTTATATAAAAAATATACTATTTATAAATGCTTAGAAAAATTAGCAATGAGACAAAAATGTTCACGCTAATATAAATAAACTTATAAATAAACAGTTATAAGTAATATGTAATTAAATTTAGTTAATATATCTATTTTGAATAATTAAGTCATATTAAGTTTATAATTTTATTTTTTATGATTTAAGTAATAAAATTTATTTAATAATTCTATTGTATTTGATATAAGAATATAATAATAAAAACTTAATATATAAGACATAATCAATTATTGTATAATATGGTGTTTATGAATATTCTTCATGAAACTATTGTTACTGTATGGCATAGCCGAGTCTTGACAGCCAAACATATTAAGAGCATTTACATTAATAACAACTGTGGTTGCGCTACTCCGGTGTTTTCGCATCATGTCATAGGCAAACATCATATTTTAGTATGAAGCCAGTATAAAATTTCAGCAAAAATCAAATTTTAAATAATTTGGAAGCCTTCTGCATTTCATGCACACGAAGCCAGTCATATATGTATTTTAACAAAAAAAAAGCACACAAACAAAATCCAAGCATCACATTCAAAAATATTGTCTCACCTACCCATGCATATATATATTTAGTAAGTGTGCAATAAAAAGAAGAGTAGAAAAAATTTACCAAGAAACTTACATACGCATGAGCTAGAAGCTATGTGTGCATTTGCTCTGATATTAGAGTTTTTTCTATATGATTTTGTCCAAGCAAAATACAACATGTCCGCTATTGGTTTGATCGCTGACTTCACTAACAAAATAGCATTGATCATACATAAAATAATAAGTTCGATTGTTTATATGTTTGAACAGACATGTTTTTCCCATTGCGTGTACCTTTTCAGAATTCATGATTTTTTTAACAGAGGCAAATTACATGTCTTTATATTTCTATGTTTTTGGTAATACTAAGATAACAGGTTAAAACTTACATTCGCGATACGCAGATGCTTACAAGTATATTCGACGATGTAACCAATAAGCCTTTAAATTTAAATAATGAAGTCAACAAATGCCACTGATGATGGGTTTTTGGCAACGCCAATTTCTGGGCCTTTAAAGGGAGTTACACAAAAACCTACAAACTAGTTATAGAAAGTTGGCGTCTTAAAATTAAGAAAACCCAATCCTTTGAAAACTGGAGTTATAGTGTTTGGTAAGTTTTATAAAAATGCCCAAACCTTCTAAAACTGTAATTATGGCATATGTAAATTATGAGTGATGATAAAATTGTATTCCTATAAATTTTTAAAAATCCATTTTCAGTAATAATTGCGCTCTTAACATTTTTTTTAAATTTTTAATTTAAATTAATTTTAATTTAATTAAAATTAAGGCTAGTTATCTTCTTCCGTCTGTTAAATACAAAATTTAACTAAGATTGTCATTTAAACGGCTTACGCTTAAAATAGTTAAAAGTGTTTGTAATAATTATTTTTATTAAATAATTTCTTAAAAATTTAAAAAAAATAAATAAGGAAAATTGTAGAAAAAATATAAACAGTTTCTAATTTATTTGAATCTGGTCTTATTTTTAAAGAGAATCTCTGATAATTTTAATAGGTCCAATCACGATCATTATTTAGGATGCTAAATTTGTATTAAAGTGCCGAATACTAAATGGGTAAATACAATATTAAAGGTGCAACTTGGTTTTGTATATATCGAAAATACATACAAACGGAGCTGACAAATCAAAAAAAGAACTTACTTGTATATAATGAGACATTAATTGATTCCACAGTTCAAATTTAACAATTAAACTTGCACTGTCGCAAATATTTAGCACAAATTTAAAACTTTAACTTTTAACCTATTTATAACAAACTAAGCATGCCTAATAAAAATGTAAATATATTTTAATATTATATTGAACATCTGCAACTTGTTAATAATAATGTTGGTTTCTGAAAATCTTTTTTAAATATAAAATTTAAAAATCGAGTCCCCGAAACTAACCGAACACCACTATATATATACAAATGTATATATATATTAATTATTTAATTTTCATCTGAAAGCCTCCTGCGAACAAAATTTTTTACTACGAGAGTGATTGGTTACCCACTGGAATCGGACAAGAGTGGGAGTTAGTAGGTATGGCTATTCAGTATGTTTCATCCAGCGTTGAATATAATGTTTGATATTCAAAACAACTTGTATTTTTTTAACTTGTTTTTCGTACAATTTTTAGTGCTTGAATGTATTATTTTCGAGCCACTAGAAAGCATTAATATTGCATAAAATATTTAATATATATGAATGATGGTACTTCCAAAAAAAAATTGAGAGTGATTGTGAAAGTTGATAAATATACTGCATTTTGAAATTATAAGCATTTCATTTGAATCCGTATTACTGTCAGACCGAGTTCTAATAGTGGAGCTAATATAAAATAAGACCGTTTTACTTTAATATATTGCGTTGGTCAATAAAAAATATCTTATAGACCTTGTATATATTATATACAATAGTATATATAATTTATATAAATAATTTAAACAAATATATATGTAATTATATATATCATATATATGTATATAATTACTTGTATAATTATAATAATTACTTAGGTAAGTTATATACTTTTTGGTATATATTAAAAAAAGTTTCCTACCTGTTTCAAAAGAATTTAATTTTTGTTACTGTTAAATAGCATTTTAAAGCTACTTAAAAGCATTATGTTTATTCAAATATTATTTTTTCATATAAATGTAGCGGAAGAAGGTGACATATGTGAATAGATTTTAATTTATTATATCTACTATTATTCGTATTTCATCAGAATTAAACTCAGGCTCAGATAATATTGAAAATGTGTTCAATTAGTTAATGTGTTTCATTCAATGGAGACCTAAATAAAATACTTACTCTTCCCATATCAGGAAAAGTGTACACGATATGTTTCTATTATTATTATTAAAATATTGTAGACATCCAGCAAACCCTTAAGATTTATTTTAATACTTTTCAAACCACTGCAAATAAAGGTTGCAATGTTCATAAAAAATAAATTTAAATAAAATATTAAAAGAATATACATAAATAATGTATTTCTCTTTGAGATATAATTTAATTAATAAATAATTTAAAACCATTTAAATTGATTAAATAAAATAGTACCTCCTAATGTCAGAAGGGGAGAGTAGTTCTCGATGCAATGAGCTCCTTCTGGTCCAGATCAAAGCTGGGAAGTCACAGAGATTGTGACTGGAAATCTCGTCTGCTTTAGGCGTAGTCGATAATCTATCTCTTCGGACAGACCCATTTTGTTAAGTTGATAATGCAGCCCATAGTGACCCATTACATATCCCTCCAGCAAGCTCAACTCTGTTCTTCTGAAGAAGAACAAACTGTAGGGAACCGTAACTGTAGGGATAAAACAACTCATTAGCCTGACGGTTACATGGAATGTCGCGCCAACAGCGGCTTCTCTCGGTTTAAAATAATTTTTAATTCAGAGACCTAGTTATATATCAACTTAATCCACAATATGGCTCCACAGAGTTGAATGGTAGATCCTACCTTGTAAGATTGTTTGCAGACTCATTACCGTTGATTCCTGTGTGACCAGACACTCAGCAATAGAGAGTTTATCAAAGGGTTAGTATCTATACATCTAGACGGTATAATTTTGAGCAGATATTTACTTAAAGCATACGTTACTATATAAACTAGCTATCTTAGGGCAGACTCTTATAATTTGTTTTGCTCTTACAAAAGTTTATTATCTCTATTTCAATTTAATCTGTTCTATTCTATGTTCTTTAATGAGTTTTAATTAAGATATATTGCGACCCAGGCATGAGGTGGTTACTCCATGTTAGTTGGGTGCATTTGTTGCTGGAGTCTGATTGCAATATCAAGGGATATAGAGTCCGCGGGTGTTTTTGACAGCCTAAAACCCACATCAAATACATTAAAATTGCAAAGATGAAAGAAATTAAATGCACAAAATACTTTTATTTTAATTTAATTTATATTTGTATTTTTTAAATATTTTCGTTTTAGTATATAAAATAATTATAATAATCAATAATAAAAACAAAATATTTTATAATTTATTAAATTAAGCATTTTTTAAAAATTTAATTGTTAACTACAATTTAAAATACAATACAATATTATTAATACAAATATTTACAAAAATTACATAATAAATTCAGTCGCTAAGTTGTTAATATATACACAAATATTTTTATATAACTTTTTTGATGAAAAAAAAGATACTAAAATACATGAAATTCAAGAATAATTTAAGTGTTCAATAAAAACAGTCGATTCAGAAGCTGCAGTTAAGTACTGCCTTATACTGCACATTATACATATATTATCATTATATATTTTTAAATACACATATAGACTATATATATATATATAATTTTTATTTAAGATTTTCCTACTTAACAACTAAATTTGTTTGATATTTAACAATTGGTGATTTTTCTTACAATTTCGCTTATTTCGATTTTTTTTAATAAATAAATACAAATAATTAAATATAACAATTTCTTATAAAAATACAAAAAAAACCATTCATATAATACAGGGTGTTTCGCTTTGTTAACTACTTGTAGTGGATTTTTCGAAAGGCAAAACAGAAATAAAAATATTTAAGTACACAATAGCAAAAATGTTAGTAAAAGTTAAGCACTTGGACAAAACATGTTGTGTGTCTTTAGCATGTTTCAATAAACTCAACACAGCCGCGCCCTACGGTACCCGCCCCTTAGCAATAAAACGCATATATAACATATCACTGATAGCGCCAGGAGCGCGGCACCACGTAATCCTTCAGCGTGTACAGCATTTTCGCATACCAATGCACGCCATTCTGCTGCTGCGTTGTGTCTAGTTTAGGAGTTGCAATTTCATTACTTTGCGATGAAGATGCCGCATTAGATTTGCTCGATAACCATGATTCGAGTTTAGCTATCACTCGTACAGGTGCCATACTCCAGTGCGCCAACGACTGACTTTTGACAATGGCATAACACGAAGCCGCCACAGAATTCACCACAATGGTTCCTTCTGCTGTGAGTGGCGCTACTACACCTTTGCGCACCACTGCGCTCAATTTCACCACACGTTGTGGACTCAAGCTGCCATGTGCATCTTTCACCAAAACAAAATCATTTTCTTCTATGTCTTCGGCAAATACATAATCCATGAGTCCCTTTTTGGGATTCCATGTTAGTATCAGATGTGCTGGTGTAACTGTCAATACTGCGCCATCTTCCGTGCCAATTTTAACAAAATCTTCCACTTGCTCCATGTTGCGATCCATAAAAAGTATGACCTCACTGTAGACCGGTTCATCCTTTTCATTCATACTCAGCACACGGTCGCCAATGCGTAGGTCACTCATAAGCTTGGTAGCCCCGCTCTCTGTGATTACTGTGCTCTCCGGTGTAAAGCAACCGCTTATATGCGTAGGATGCATGGCATCTAAAATGAGAAAAAGAAAACCAAAGGAAGGATTAATATTTGGTTTGATATATCGTACAAAATTAATAAGTTTTAACTAATTTAACCCTATTAATGCATAAGGAACTTTTGTGGTTCCTTTCGACATTGAATATTTTCCTTTAATTTAAAGTCAACAAAACTAAGTCAGCATATAATTAAAATCCTCACTGCTTTGTTATCTCGAATTTGGCAATCTTGTGAAACGCTTAAGTTAAGTCCTCAAATCCTTTTAAAGTAAAAACATAACGATTTTTTATCTTCTACTTCGCCTGTTTGTTTGCAAAGTTAATCCGAGCGTGTGTGCACTACTTACACTGTGCTACATCGACAATAGGTAACCAACCCAAGACTATCTAGGGTCTAATCTAATTTGGCGTTAATAATGCCTAGAAAATGCCTGAAAAAAGGTTGTGCAAATGCGCCTTTTTTTGCACACGCAAAAATAATTAAAATCCAAACAAGTCAAAAAGGTTTTCACAGTTGCTGCCTCCTCTGTATGAGGAAACTGATGCTGTGGATTCTGTCTTCTGTACAGGCGGCTTTCTCTCTTGTATTCTTAAATTTTTTTTAATTTTTTGTTTATTGTGATCTTCTTTTTACTCCTTGCAACTTCACTTCATTTGTTAATCACTGCATTTGGGGTGGCATGACAACATCCTACATTGCATCTAACCGAAACTAAAGAGACCTAGACTTCGCTTTAATGGAATGTGGAAAGGGAGAGAAAAAATGTTAAGAATCATTTTTCCTACATTGTTTTCTTAAGGATTAGAAGAAAAAAATGACTCGAGCCAAAGCAGCTTACCATAATATTTTATTTATTTATTTTTATTTAATAAATTTTTTTCATTCCAAACCGCAGTTGTGTCTTTCCGCAAGTGCAAAGTAAGAATGGACTTGATTTGGATTACCTGAGCTGGGACTGACCTCAACACATGTGTTTTGATTACATTTACAATATTTTGGTTTTAAATTACACTATTATAATTATTTTAATGGAATTATGAAAATTATGAATATTGTACCAAGGCGATAGTCCTCCTCCGTCCAATATTTTCTTGTATGAACCCACAACGTGTGGTGTGTAAAAACATTGAAATGAGTTAAAAAATATCATTCAATTTTTAAATATTATAATTAAAGGTTAATGATTTTATTAGCAATATATTGAATTACTTCAGGTTAAATGGTCAAAAATGGACCACCCAATAAATCGAATCAAAAGTAACCAAATGGTATTGAAGAAAATAATTGCTTTTTAAAATATTTACAAATCTATTGTCAAATACACGAAATAAAATAAATTACTATCTATCGGGAACATGGAATTTGGTAGGTAGACGTAAGATCAAAGTGGTAAAACCGAACATGTCGTAGTTTTTACAGGCCACTAGGTAACTAGATAGATAATAATGCCTAAAAAATTATGCATAAACTATGGAAAGAAAGAATGAAAAGAATTTAATATTTGAATACCTATGAACTATGGAGCTAGGACCTTAGATAGGTATGCACCTCAAACTTATAGATTAAGACCCAAATATTTATAGAAGCAATCTCCCAAATTTTTTTCGATAAACTATTGATGACTTCATGCGAATAAAGAGCATGAATGGATCACTTCATGATACATAGTGAACTCAATATAACTCAGTCTGTAATGATTCCTTTCATATCTCGGTAATGTTTTTATTCTTTTCATAAAAATACATTATATTTCAACACAAACCATTGTCACAAGTAGAGTAGACTATGGGCTTAAAGAGAATCATGGTAGTTTCCTAAATTTTTTTCGAAAAATAATATCCCAGTGAAAAGAAGTTATAGAAGGCGCACTTCATATCTCATGACTCATTTAATTTTCTAGTAATGTTTTTATTATTTTTATGAAAGCATAGGATCTTTCAATCTTTATAAGTAGTAGAGTAGACTCTATCAGTTTAATAACAGTATAAGGATCAAGCACCGCTCTGACTAAGTACCTGCTACAAACATACGAATCAAAAAGCCCGGCCAATGTTTTAAAGAAGAATATTGGAAGACAGCTGCTTCAACCCTTCAACCCCTCCTTTAATGAAGTGCCTGTTGCAAACCTATAAACTAAAAGTTAAATAATGGTGAATATTTAAAATGAAGTATAATAGGAGTGAGCGGTTTCAACCCCTCAAGTCCTTCCTTGAGTAAGGGTGTCTTGTAGACCAGCGAACTAAAAACCCCTACAAATAAATAAAATTTAAAAGAATCTTCTTTAATAATCTCTTAAACTTTTTTTTAAAAATAATTTTTTTTCTTAAATCTTATATTTGGATATAGGTTATTACGTAAGAGTAAATTCTATTGCTACCAAACCGATATACCAATGATATCCGAATGCAAATTTTTATGAAATATTAATCTTATTTGCTATTCTTCAACTACTATTAGCTTTAAAAATGAAATCAATTAAAATTTTTGTTAATAAAATATTTTATGACCGAACAAATAAACTCATTTTATTGGGTTTTATACATATTAGGCATTAAGTAGCTAATAAATGCGCCCAAACTAAAATAAATCATAAATTGTGCCAACCAGAAGACGTGGGAGAGTTGCTAGCAACTTCCAGTAAAAATATTTGGGCACGTTAGCGCCAACTTGTAAAATTCAAATTAATTACATAAAAAATTAAAAGTAGATTACAAACTGGAAAACTAGAAAGATCGAAAGATCGAAAGATCGAAAAGCCACTAGAAAGAGGCTAGGAATCCATTTAATGAAGGCGACCACTAACTGTGCATTTTATTGTAATGAATGACATAAATGGTCGAACTATAAAACTACAAGCAACGCAGTAGGGAAATTATATAGAAAAACGCAGTTCATTGATAGTAAAACACAAAACAAGAATAGAGAAAAATCCGGGGAGAAGTGTAGAAACAATAAAAAATCCGATTAAAAACATGTTAAGCGGTACGATTTTAGACAACACAGATTTTATAATAAATGCGACCAGAAGAGTATACCGACAGACGGTGTTAAAAAATAGTGAGCGCGTCTTTCTATTAACGAAAAGAGAAGAAAACGAAGACTAAGAAAAAGAAAACAAAAAAGAAAAGAAGAAGACAAAGAAATAGGAAATTTTGTAAAAATTGGTGTGAAATGAATGTCGGCTAAATTTCAATAATTCTACGCTAGAATTTTTAAAGGAAAATCCAACGATTCTGCTGAGGTTGCTGAGGTTGCTGAAAACTGACAATGAGAATAATGTGAATGACGACGATAATGATGATGATGATGACGACGATGATGGTGGTTAAGTGGAAACAGAAGTAAAAGTATGGCACTAACAACAAAATACTCCACTCAAAATAACAACCACAACAACAGCAACAACAAGTACAACAACAACAAGTACAACTGCATGGCACTGGGATATCGCTTGAAGGGTCATAAATTAATAAACCATTAAAGTGGTTAAAATTATCGTTTTCTTTTTATCTTTGTGTTGGAGACTAAACTGATAAATTATTACAAAACAGAAGACAACACCAATAACAATAACAACATCATCAACAACAACAACAACAATAACAACAACAGCAACATTGACATCAACAGCAGCATCATCATCAGCAGCAGCAGCAGCAACTACTACATACCACACACGTATGTACGTGGATTTGGGCACATGGGATAGTTTAGTGGCTTATAGGCATTTAAGCGAACCATACAAATGGTTTATGCCACGTTAAAGAAAATATTCACAGCATATTTTTCATTTATGCGACACGAGCTGAACCACATGACTTGATGCAGGTTCGGTGCAATCGCTGCTGTTGATGTCAGTATTTCTACTGTTGTTGTTGTTGTTGTTGTTATTGTTTTTGCTATTGCAGCCGTTGATGTTGCTGTCATTTGTTGCATTGGCAACAAACATAAACTTACTCTTTAATGGTTTGAAACAATCATTGCTTAAGCAACACTTAAATCTTTGAACTTGTAACAAATGTTAAACAACGAAGATGAAAACAAACTACAACAAAAATTAGTGTCCACAAGAGGACATACAATCATATCTCTTCCCGTCTTCCCGTCCTCCCGTCTTCTCGTCTTCCCATCTCAGCTAACTTGTACAAATATATATGAGCTGCGTCGATCCGTCTGTCCGCGTGCCGAACTATGGAGCATACAGTTAGCTCTGTTAGCTCTGTTGGTTGTGAGATTCAAACTTTGTGACTGCTGCGGCATTTGTCACTTCTCAGCGTATAACTTTTAATTTGCTGTAATATTCGTTACGTACGTGTAGACGGAGATGCTTGGCCGCAGGGAGGTAGAGATAACAGACACTTAGCATATCTAAATTGATATTAAAACAGCAGTTGACAGTGATATACCGTGGCTGATAGCTTAAAATACTCAAAAAGGTCATAAGATACATTTTTGAAATTCCGAAGAAATTACTTTTTATATCCATGAAGGAAAAGTGAAAATAATAAATACTTTTTATATGTAATCAACAATTTTGTATTAATTAATAACGCGTTAGGATTTACATTTTATAATGGTTATAGAACTAAAATCTTTTTGACTTTTACTGTCTATTCTTTAACCCAGCTCATCTTCTAAGTTGCAGGGAAAGCTTGAGAAAAGTACCATAAAAGTCAAGCAGTTTTTAGTTCTACTAACCAATATAAAATGTAGATGGAAAAATGATGGATCTCTGGACATTATTATTAAAAGTTTAAACGTGAAATCGGCCATCAGCCGGTACTGCGGCCAGAAGAGTCCTAAAGTACCAAATCTCTGGACATACATTTATCCATAATCGTCCATAACTTCCTCATTTCATTATAAATTTTTAATTTGGATATCTTTTCAGCTTGATATATTGATTTTGATATCATAACTCGGTAGTTATAGTTAAAAAATATCATTGTTTTATAATATTATTGATTATGTTAAAGGATTTACAAACTAAATATTAACAATATTATATCGAT